TTTCGGAATTCAGAATCGGTTTTTGGAAAATTCTGCAAGAAGATTATCACACCAGCTGATGAACCTAGGAATTCCAGGTACCCTCCACTTAATTGCCAGGGTATCTTAGGCCGTATTCAGAAACGATAGTTAATCTCAAAAGCACGAAGGTTCGCCTCAAGTAACGCTGGAAGCGACTAACGGTAAGTAACTCATAATGTGAGAGACTTCAAGGTTTTGTTGCATACCAACACTCAATATACATTCCAAGAGCATTAAGCATGTCGTGTAAAAGTGCGTATTTCACAGAAGTGGAAACAAAATTGTTAAAGGAGATAGTAAATAAAATTCTAAATGTAATTGACAACAAACAAAAAAACCTGATCTACGTACGTTAAGAAAAAAAACATGAGCAGAAATTGAAAGAGAATTTAATAGTTATCAAGAAACATTCCAGAACAGCAAAACAACTGAGAAAATGATGTGAAAACCTGAAAGACTGGGTGAAAAAAGGGAAGCTAAATGAAGTTCATTTTGTTTATTTTGAAATAACATCCAATTCTAATGTCCATGAAAAAAAAAATATTGAAAAAAAATCAATATACACTTATGTTATTCTCGATCATCTCTCAATGTATATTTTTAATAAGACTGTTTTATTTAATACTTTGTCGTTTGTATTTGCAAATATCACTTTTTTAAATGTCTAAAATAAAGATGAAAGAGTTTGTACATTAAACACATGTGTCTATGTTAAACACATGTGGTGTGAAGTGAAACTTTTTTGTATTTATTTCAAGATAATTATAATACTATTTGGCAATTTATTTTCAGAATGTTGCTTATAAACAAATCAAATGAAATAAAATATGTGTATTACTAAATGACAATATTGATAAAACGGCAAAATAATTCAAAATCAATACTCATATCAAAGTGGTATTCAGTGTAATGTTATTGTCACGGTTCAGAAATGTTCACTATTTCGGGGAGAAGATATGTAAGCGGCCGGATATCTCAGTTGGTAGATCCGCGGAACAGTATTCCGAGGGTCCCGGGTTCGAGTCCCGGTCAAGCTGCATATTTTACTCACCCTGTGACATTTGGCGCCCAACGAGGAACCGTGACTAATATAGCTCAGAATTTAATTTACATTGCTCTGTAACTCTGTGAAATTCGAGGACGAATTTCAATATAGTAGGCGAGTATGTCACGGTTCAGAACTGTTCACTATTTAGGGGAGAAGATGTGTAAGCGGCCGGATAGCTCAGTCGGTAGAGTCGCGGAACGGTTTTCCGAGGGTCCCGGGTTCGAGTCCCGGTCAGGCTGCACATTTTTCTCACCCTGTGACATTATTAAAAACATTTCAAGATAGCCCCCTCCTAATCAAATAGAAACTGACTTTAAAATCTGAATACCACAACTACATGTATACGGGATTTACTCAAAAAGTAACAGCAAAGTTATCTATTAAAATATTACTTAAATCGAGTAATATTCTCTTTGACGATATATAAAATGTCACGTGGTTTGGCTACCGGTGTAGAGGTGTTAAAATTTAATTGCAATACATTATTTGTTAGCCATTGAAGTTATTATGTATATAGGACTTCCAAAAACAGTTATTATTCAGAGCGGGCGCTATGGTGCAGTGGTAACACTATCTGTCTACCAATCAAGGGGTCGTGAGTTCGATCCCCCGCTACTCCACTAAAATTACACAGAACTGTAGAGACTAAGCGAATAGAAAATACAAACAGAGACTAAACGGTTAACGACATACAGATACAGACTATACTGAGCAGACTGACCTAACGTACAAGAGACAGAACAGAACATACAGCAAATGACATTCAAAAAGGAACATCACCCGTTCTGAGAACAGAAAGGAACAGACAAAAAATAATAAATGGAACAAAACACAAGGACAACGATATCGATACAGACAAGAGAAGATGGTAAATGGGAACCGATAACAGAAAAATTGAAACGAGGACCAATAACAAAAGAACTAATAGAATACACAACAACGGGATACAGACAGCAAGAGACGGAGCATATAGTAGGAGACTGAATAGCACACACTAAACACAAAACACGGTAAACACAAAACATAACCCAACCAGACACTTAAGCAGACAAGAAAGCACATTGACAGAAAACAAAGTGAGAACAAAATGGAAATCAAATGGAATATAGTTCGATACTCCGCTACTCAACTAAAAGAAGGAAAATAACATAGCATACAAAAAAGCACTAATATACGATAAGACACGGACAGGATCTGTTAGTAGATAACAAGACGCTAAGAAAAACAGAGAAGGACTAGTCTTTCCAAACAAGACTAAAAGCACAGAAAACAAATCGGGAACATAATGGAAAACACCGACAAAAAATGAAATGAAACTGCAAAAACCAAAACATAGAAATCTAGAAACTAAACGAATAGAAAATACAAAAAGAAGCTAAACGGTTAAAACATACAGACTAAACAAAAACATCTAACAGAAAATGGAAAAAGGGACACAAAGGAACGGATCGCGAAAAAACATACAAACAGGAACGTTTCCCAGCAGACTTAACGGAGCATCTAAAAACGACAAATTAACAAAAAAACAATTAATGGAATAAGACAAAATAGCACACACTACACACACTCGTTAGTAGATAACACGACGCTTAGATTACAATAAGGAGAGTTATCAACGTTACAACTAACAATACGCAGCATTTCACCAAGTTTACAACGAAAACTTAACAAGAACTAAACAGAAAGTAAACAGTTATAGACAGTTAAGTAACAGCGTTCGGCTGAAACAACTACATAGAAAACATTAAATGGAACAGCAAACTAACAAGTTAAACGTAAAAACACATACAAATAAAAAGTTAATAACCAATAAGAAAGGACTCAAAAATGTAAAATTAAAGAAATACATTGTAATATCTAAATAACTAGACACTTTACTTACATTGACATTAATTTGAAGACATTATATATTCAAATACATGTACTTAGTGCAGATTTGGTTTTTATTTAAGCGTGTATGTTTTAGCTTTTCTGATGGCACGGGAAATTTTACCGATTCGCCTGCTATCATGTTATATAGACTTAAGAATAAAATATAATAAGCCATGATCGTATTTAACATACACTACAGAATCCCCGAGAAATAGCGACTTGTCATAGATGTACATGTACATGTAGCCACCTGTCTCTATTGTCTGTAGAGGAAACATTTCCTAACACTTAAGTTAACAACATTCGTAAACATTGGAGTTTAATCACAGAGAACATAATTATTATATTAGACCTAACAAAATATGCAAACAGTTTTCACTTTGCGTATGTCATAAAAAATCATAAACGACTAATAACATGACACTATTATACGAGCTGCGTCACGACAAAACCAACATAATGCGTTTGCGACCAGCATGGATCCAGACCAGCCTGCGCATCCGCGCAGTCTGATCAGGCTCCAAGATGTCCGCTATCAGTATCTGTACTTGTAATAAAGTTGGTAAGCGAACAGCATGGATCCTGATCAGACTGGGCAGATGCGCAGGCTGGTCTGGATTCATGTTGGTCGCAAACGCACTATGTTGGTTTTGTCGTGACGCGGCTCATATATATTGTTTTTGTTTTCTTTTACACAATAGTTTGAAGACTTTTATCAAAAGCAATGATAAAATTTCTGCATTAAAATCTCCATTACTATCGTTCACATTGACATTCATACAATGGAAATTTTGCATTCTTGTATGTAATTCAATATACACAGAAGATATACATAGAAGAAGGACAAATCTAATATGTATGAATAAGAATGCAATAAACATGCATTGATTAATAACATTCTGATATAAACATGTCCTTGAGATACATATACTTTAGCGGATATTCACCGCCATAAAAATCAACCTACATTAAGTAAATTCATATAGTACATCTGTGCCATCCGTGTTTTCGTCCCGTTGCTGAAACCGAAAGTACAAAATGTCTACCTGTTATCATTAATTCGGATTCGTTTATAACTTTATTATTTTTTTAATTTGGCATTTTTAAATAGATTGTTACTTTCGGATATATTTGCAATCATAATTTTAGAGAAATAGACTTTATTTTTCTATGCATGTCAAAAATATACATTCGTTATACATTATCAAAGATTGCACGCTTTGTGTTTGTTTACATCCAAAACAACGTGGTAGAACTATTTTCAATCCGTATTAAGTCCGAGATTATTATGAAAAATAGCCGAGGATGTTCCGATTGCCCTTCTGTAAAATGCATATCCCCTTTTCGCAAGTTTGCGACCCCATCTGATAAGCAAACATTTCTGGATCCACGCATGTACTGTATCATTCTTTCCCTGCATGTTTAATACAACGTGTGCATGATTGAACAAATAGGATTTACCTAAGTAATATGTCGCATTATCGCTAGTTATATTCCGTTTTAATAACAGTCAATGACTTGCGTACGTTATTGTTTGATTACTAGAATAATGTGCCGATATTCTTACTGTATGAATTTCCAGATTACGTTTATAATAATTTTACATTTTAGAAAAACCGGAAAAACGGAGATCCTCCGACAATATAGAAAAAGCAAAATGAGACGAGAAAAAATCGTTAAATTAATTTTGTTAAATTCCCTTCTTGTACTTACAATAAATTTTTTTTTTTAAGTTGATGAAAACATAATAATGTAGAGATGGAAAAAATGTAAATTTGTACATGAAAATAGTCGCTCTTTGAGTAGAAAGGAAAATAATTATTTAATATTGCAGAAGAATTGCAATCAAATAATATGAACACCACGATTATCCAATGAAATTCGAAATTACAATTGTGCAGCATAACATGATTTTGTTGTTGTTAGTGTTATATACATAAATCAGTACATACCGACTATATCAAATTGAAAAAAAAATGGTAAAGAGATAAATAGATATACTGCAGAAAATCAAAGGATTATTTGTGTTGTACAATATGTCACCTGAACAATACAGGTTTTACCTTAACAAGAATCGCTGTTAAATTAAACGTAAACCATCTGCTGTGCATATAAGACTATTGATCCATCCCATCCCAAAGAAAATTCACGAGAAGTCGAGACATCATTAATAAAAGCAATGGGACCAAAGGTCTCTTGTAACTTTAGTGTACTTTTTTGCATAATTAGTGCAATATTTCTTATATACGGAATTAGTCGAATTTACCAAAATCATCAAGTGAGGCGCGAGAGAAATTTTCCTGAGCAGAATGTGAAGAAATTGACAGTAGAAAATACATCACCGTCCGTAAAGCAGCAGGAAATTGTCACAGAACTGTCAACATATTTAGGACCGGGCGCAGATGGCGAGCAGATATATTTACCCGCCAACAGGGAGCATTATGAATATATAAGAAATAAATCTTTGCTACACGAGGTTAATAACTTTAATAGCGATTTAGTAGGACTGAAAAGAATACTTCCTGATCAAAGACCAGAAAAATGCAAAGATATACAATATCCTAGTGATTTACCGGAAGTCAGCATTGTCATCACTTTTCGCGAGGAGTCAGTTCCAAGTTTATTACGTACCGTTTACAGTGTGCTGGAAACTTCACCAGATCGTCTTATCAAAGAAGTTATCTTGGTGGATGATGGGTCAAAAGATGAATTTTTGAAAGCGGCTGTTGAAATTCACGCGACAAACGTTGACAAAATAAAGCTTCTGAGAAACGAACAGGCGCTTGGATTGATGAGGGCTAGACAAAGAGGCATTGAAGAAACCGGAAGTGACTACTTTATTGTTTTAGACGGACATATAGAGGTGACTCCAGGCTGGTTAGAGCCGGTCCTTTACAGGTTGGTTCAAGAGCCAAATGCATTGCTAACGTCACATATCATGGTTCTGAACAAAGAAACGTTTGAAATATCAAGGGGAGATCACGATATAGCGTTTATGTTTTTCGATCAAATTACATTGAATGAATTATGGGTAAAATATACAAACGATTACCGGGCATATAGAAACGGAAGTGTGTCACCAATTCCATATGGCATTGTACCTGGCATGATGACGGCAATGAGAAAGAGCTTTTTCTTGCAACTCGGTGGGTTTGATCCCGGCATGGAGATTTGGGGGGTTGAGCATATGGAGTTGTCAGTAAAGACATGGTTATGTGGCGGGGTGGTTGAAATGCTTCCCTGCTCTAAAATCGGGCATATTTACAGAGCTGCTCCTTGGCAATCATTCCACCCACATCAGCGGTATGTGTCTAAAAACATGATGCGTTTCGCGCATGTCTGGATGGACGGGTATCTTCAAAAACTCGCTTTGCGCGTGCAACACAAGAGCAATTTAAGCCACTGGCCAGACCCGGGAGATTTGGAGGATCGACACAAAATTAGGCGAGAAAATAATTGTAAGCCATACCAGTATTATGTTGACAAAATTCAAAACATGACCCATAATTACGTCCCCAAATCACCACGTGTAACCGGTGTTGTTAGAAACGAGCAGACAAAAGCGTGTCTGGATCATGCAACGATTGGTGGAAATTTTGTTCTTATAACATATTCTTGTACCGGAGACTCAAACCAGTTTTTCGTATTGACTGAGGATAATAACATTCGAGTAGAAAGGTCGTGGCTTTTGGTTATACCCGGTTCAACCAAGCTAAAACTTCTTCGAGATATAACGGACTGGTCTGGACCAGAATTTCTATGGACTTTTGAGAACAATAGCACCATTAAGCATACTGTTACAGGAAAATGTTTAACAGAGAATGTTAGGCAGAATGTTACTTTAGAAGACTGTGTTAACTCTCGTAGTCAAATGTGGAAATGGCCATTGACGGCGTAAAGTTTCTATAAGAAAACTGCAAAGCACTAAACTATGGTGGCTGATGTCTGCCATTTCGTGTCTTCGCCCTTCAAAAGACGAAGGCGAAGACACGACAGTATGTTCACTTACCGTGTCTCCGCCTTCGACTTTATAGGGCGCCTACACGAAAACACGGTACATGTATATTTTAAGCGGAATAACGATATTTTAATAGGAGAAGACACGAGATCTTCGCCTTCGGCTATCAGTGGGCGAAGACACGAAGACACGAAATGGCAAAAATTAGCCACCATACTAAACTAATCAAATGTGAATGAGACTAGTGAACGCTGCATCTCTCCATATGAGAGAAAATTAATGTTCTAAGATATACTCATAATATCTAATACAAAAGAGAATTTGTATTTGTTTGGAATTTTCATCTAGTAAGCGCTTTTCTTGTTAATTTTTCATTGCAATGTTGGAAGTCCAACTCAGGTGCCCGCTCGAGCTAGAAATAATGCACGAAGGGTCACCTGAGGTCTTCGACCACCAGTCAAGCAGGAAAGTCGTCATTTGACCTTACTGTGCCGCAGTGACTTATAACCCAACGAAACAAACAAACAAAACAAAAGATATATGTAAAAGCTGTTTTGTGCAATGTGTTATCTATTACATGACAAAAAAGACATGCCAAAGAACTTTAGAAGAACGGTTCTGGTAAATGTCGGTGAAAGCAAAGGGGCGTATACTGGAGTTTTTTCGCTTTTGGAATAATAAATAAATGTAATATTTTCTTAGAGAACGTTTTTGTGTTTTTAGTGATAGAAAAAAAGCATGTGTACCTCTGAAACAATTACACACGCACGTTTTCAGTTTTGGAAATGACAAGACCTTTGGTCATTAATAATATTATCAATACACATGGATTAACTTGCGATATATTCAGTCTAAATGCGAATTATGCTTGAAGAATGGTACACGAGTACGCCAAAGCTAAACATTTACTATCTTCATATAAACATTGACTACATTTTAATACAAACTCTGCTGTTTTGGTGATACAATATATAAGTTTCCATCGCGCCGTCAATTCTAAACAAAGTCTTCATAATGTTATTCCGAATACAATAATCGATATATCGTCGATTTTTTTCTGTCGATCAGTAATCGATCAATGTTTTCTAAAAGATAATTTTTATTTATTAATTATAAAAATTCACCAAAAGCATCACGGAAGCATTGGACATGTCACATAGCTATATTTCATGTCTCTGGATATGTGTAAAATTATGCTTGTGGTGTTACGTTATGGACACATTTCATAGCAGTGGTGACAAAATATGCCCAGGTCATAAGAAAAACATGCAGAGGTGGGGTGGGGGCGTTCATTTATAACATACTTCATAATTGTATCAATAGATTAATAAACATCTTACTGAAATCGTAAAAAATCGGTATGAAAATGAAATATAGATAAAAGTGAGACTCGATATACCGATGTATCGTTAATATTTGTCATCTAATATCAATATATCGTCGATATGTCTTGGACTAAATTAATAAAAGCTCCAATAATAAGGAAGAGGAAGATGTACATGTTTCATCATTTTATTATATATCGTAAATTATCGAATAATTAAAATCATATATTTTATAAAAATATGAAAATGAATGTATAGTATGATAAGTGAACAATATTATATATTTCTGTCTATGTGTAAAAATAGTAACAGACATACCGTAATTTCAAACGTCATACATTTGTGTATATTTACATATATACAGGGGCGTCAATACGTACAACGAAAAAGTTTGACTAGAGTTACTTCCCCTGATATAAGTACAGGCACCGTACAGATATGTTACAAAAAAATATATAAACAAAACTCAAGTCGAACTATGTCCGTACCTATTGCATGTTGCAATGAAAAGTACTGTATATAGCTTTTTACTGTTATGATAATAAATATATCGCAACGTGGTTTTTGAAATGGTGCACTGTCCATAACTCAGCAGCTCTTTTGATTGGTCAATGTTTAGAATTCCGATGCTATATCACGTATTATACCCCTCGCTGCGCCACATCCACCTCACAAACTTCCACATTCACACCCAAGCGCGCACACATGCGCACACTCACACTGGCCAACCATTCTGACTTTAAAAGCTTCGAGGTTCAAAAATGGCATGGTAATGTACAAAACGATAGTGATGTAAATGAAAATATGCATCAGCATAATAATAATTGTTTTAAACTTCGATTATCATTCTAAAATTCGCCTGAAGTTGACTAGTAGTGGTATGAAATACTGCCTGGATCACAAGTTAAATGATCTTCAATGCAACTGAAAAAAAAAGAAAATATAAATGTATATCTAACTGACCCGACATATGTATATAATTTATCAAGATATTCAGCGTAAAGACTTAATTTACAGTTACGTGTAAAACAAATATAGATAGTGATTCGTATTTTGTATGAAAATCAAAATAACAATTTATTTACATCTTTCTTCGTGTTATAAGCATGTAAGATGCCCTAAAAAACATTACACTGTATTTAACATTATAAAATACATGTTAACCCTTTCAAAAACAAAACAAATTTAATTTGTTTATTTCTTAAATGGCAATTATGTGACTTTAAGAGAAATCAGTTTTATTCATGTGAATAAAATTGATTGTAGTAAAAAATTTATGTATCCCATTTTTAATTCCATTATTAACTCCATTTCTGTGAATAATATCGTAAAAAATCCCAAAATATTGAGTTATAGTTTGTTTCAAAATTTTAGTTTTCAAAATTAACAAAATATTATATAAAGTTATAGAGAGTTTTTAATGCATGTATGGTTCAATACTGAATTTATTAAACTAGCTGAATAAATTTAAAACGTTATTCGTTCCTCTGGCACTGCGAATTATTTTCTTTCATCATATTCAACGAGTTCATTAAATTTAGTATTGAAGCTATACTTAAATAATATTCAGTTTATCCTGGGACAGAAATATACGTTACATTTTAGTCCCAGGTTTATCACAAACCCAAATAAATGTCAAAGACACTGTGCGTCTTTTTAATGCTATGTTTGCATATGACGTCACGTCAAATATACATACGTCATTGACATACCGTCAAAAATGCGGTACGGGTTTGTGATAAAGATATATTTGCAACCTATGAAAAAATGTATAAGAACATCTTTTTCAAGGCACCAATGGGGAAAACATCTAAATATTACTTCGTCATACTTGAAATAAATTTATTTGAAATGGTACTGCCATAGTTTCGCTTTTATCCAAAACAATCTATCTAGAACCAATATAAAATATCCTAGATATACTGTAGATGTAGTTTTACTTACAAAGAACAATAACTGCTGCTATTGCTAATACGACCACCACCACGCAGACGATACAACACACAAGTTTCCAATTCTTTCTTTGAGTATGTTTCCTTAAATCTACAGCACTGTCTCGGAACCTGGTACTCGTCACAGCCAAATTCTCTAAAATATATCAAAAGAAGAAAAAGGTTGTTGGACTCTATGTACAACACCCGGGACAAATAATAATAATAATATTTTTGTACTAGACAACACTAGTTTACTATTTCCGAACAGTTACGTAAAAACCAACAGCACTTTGAACATTTTCGGCATGCTACGATAATTATCGATTAATTTACACGATCTCTGTTCGGTAAAAAAACATTATGAATATCAAAAAGGAGAGACAATAGCGTGAAACGAGACGAACATTGACGGAAATCACCGATGTTTGATTACTACACATATAGTGCGCACCATTCATGCATGAAATCATGCTTTTATCAAAGCGTAACTTGCGCGTTCTATTTTCGTATTTATATTATTGACTTATCGGATAATGTACTAGAGCTATGTAAATTATATATATTAATAAGTTTTGAAGATCTCTGAGATTTTAGATCGTGTGTTAAATTATTGAATACATAGATCGAGTGGTGCGTTTTTCTGTGAATGGAGTCTTAATTATCTGTATTTTTCTATTTTTATACTTTAGCGTGAAATCCATTTTGTTTAACAATAGTATACTTCATGTGACCTAATCACTAAATTATACATGTATGTAGCAACATGACATACAAAACAGAGTGGCGTGGAAATCCTGTTTTCTGTGTATTTTCATTCATAATTCATTATAAAGTACGATTTTTACCATACAGATTTTATCAGAAATAAACTATTTTATACATCACATCTTATATGCAGGATATAAATGTAAACACAGTGGCATAATATAATCATTAAGTCAAGTTATCAGAGGTTAATACTTAATAATGCGATAATGGCCCGAAGATGTCCAAAATGACCTGTATATTTTTGGGCTTTGTAATTCTGCCAATATAAACGTTATTTGTACGTGAATACGTATATCCCCTAGGCTTAAAGTGTATTTACATGTTTGTTTGTTTGTTTGTGTTTGTTTGTTTGTTTGTTGTTTGTTTCATTTTACGCCTTTTCCCAACAGTATTTCAGTCATATAGGCGGGTAGTTTCCTAACTATCGTTCCTGGAGAGTTACACCAGTACTAGACTACCTTCCTCCGTGCTAAACTACCAAAGCATCTCCCGGGAATCGAACCCACGCCAGAGGTAACTGGATTAGAAGTCATCGACTCTAACCCCTCGACCACGGGGTATTTACATGTAAAAGGTATACGCTAGGTTATAAATTAAAGACATAACAGTTAAAAACTTGATTTTACACGAACCTGAATGTATGAAAAAAAAACACAAGTATTAATTAGCATCAGTACCCACGCTGATTTCAACTGCTTTATGAAATATTTCTTCTTTAGCAATTGTCTTTGGAGGGGTGTGGTTGTCGATATTTTTGGAGGGGCGGGATCTGGTGTATAAGGCGGGATTTTTGTGATAAAAGGATGAAAAATTAAACCTGTTCTATCACTTAGGTCTTGAGCTTTCTCTCCTCTTTCTATAACCTTCTCAATGTTATCTTTCATGATGTCTTTAACTTCATTCACTTGTCCTCTCAGTTTGGCTATCTTGTTTTCGTCTGCTTGGAGGCCAGCAACTAAAATAAGTTGGGGGGAATGAACAATTAAATGAAGTTGGATTCAATGTACAGACTCAGGCAGCGCTCATGTATCACGTGACTTTCAGAAAAAGTTCTAAATTTTAAACCATTACATATTCAGGTATGCTGTTTTGTGTTACATTTCTAATTATAAATCGATATATTTCTAAACCTATGTGCATAAACCCTTACATAAAGACCACTTTTCTTGGTAAGTAGCGCCTTTGTGTTAATTAATAGGGATGTTGTAGGGAGCCGAATCCACTATCAGGATGTCCGGATCAGACATCCGGATGAATCCGGATGTTCGGATGGTGTAGTTCCCTGTCATTACATAACTATTTTGCAACCATTTTCATATATGACGTTTTTTATTTGTAATGCTGCCCTCACACATAAACCACGACCTTACTGCGACCTGAAAACTAGTAAAATAGCATTTTTCTTTCGAAAATCGTTGGTTTTCTTTCCAAATTTCTCTCGCAGACGGTCCGGGGCTCTGCAGTCTTGTGTTCAGTACGTTTTCTCTATGTCCTCAATACGACCCTTCTACGTCATTGCGTTTCCACTGCGACTGTATTGCGTCCCCAAGACGACCCCACGGCGATCATCGGCGACCCAGCTGCGACTGTGCTATGTTCTCTGCGTCCTTACGGCGACTCTACGACGACTATTGCGTTTGTCCGGCGACTGTCCTGCGACTGTACGACGACCCTACTACGTTCTTGCTACGTCTATAAAAACAATACTTTTTACCTTTAGTAGCGTCGCCAAAGGTTTCCGAGCAATTTCTTGTAATTTCATCGGTGAATCTACGGCGTCCTTAGTACGAGTGTACTACGTCTATTGCGTTCTTATTGCGTCCTTACTACGATGCTGCTGCGACTATGGCGACTCCACTGCAATCCCACGGCGACCTAACCAGGACTCAGCAAGAACGCAGAGTTTCTGCGACTGTTTTGTGCATGTTCAAAATAGTCGCCGACGGTCTGCGACCTTGTGCGTCCTTGGGTTCCTCGCTACGACCTCGCTGCGTCCCTGCTGCGTCCATGGCGACTGTGCTGCGTCCTGGGTCGTAGCAAGGTCGCAGTAAGGACGCAGTAAGGTCGCGAGGTATGTGTGAGGGCAGTATAATGAGTCAAATTTATAGTATAGATCGAAAATATCGGCATGATTTAGATTAACATGCATAACATGTTATACCGACTATAATGAACGCTTTCTGCCAAGTGGCATCAATAAAAACCAACAATTTACAGAAGAACGCTGAAGATTGCAAATGGTATAATTATCGTACATTTAATGTGAATCTATAGACAAACTTTAATAAATCAATTAAACAAGTATAGGCCTTTTAACGACACGGTACGTTGCTCGTTAGTAGTATTTTCTCGCACATGCGCAATCTGCGTAGTAGAGTAAAAACATAAAAGATGTCCTTACAGCTTCCAGTGGCCAGGTTTGCCATAAAAGGGCATGGAAAAGATGATCGTTTAAGATATATCTTCCTTAGGATCACGTACGGACCTGAGATTTGTAAAAATGTGGAAATATATCTATTAGCAAATAAAGGGGTCAACATAATTGTTGTTGTAATATAACGTTATACAGGGGAAATAAAAATTAATCTTTAACACCCTGCTGTTTTAATCTAAATTTCTGAAGGAAAAGTCGTCTAATGAGATCTTAAAAAGAGGAATTTTCATTGTACATGCGCTTTCTTTTCGTTGTAATAGTATTCTCTCATAGTTTTGTATATCTGTTATAGATACAATTAATGTTTTAAGTACTTAATGCTTTAAGCCATCCCAAAATTACTGTTTTCTGGGTGATATAACTTGAAATTATGTCTAAAAAATTATTAAAATTATGCCCTGAAATACGACAATTTGTAGTAAACGTTATTGCGTTTTTGTCCTACACAGAATGCGCATGCGCGAAATGCAACATTCGTTACTATGGAAATACTACGGAAAACTCGTATTGTAATCTGCATTAGATTTTTAATAATCTTCTCCCAACAAATTATTTTGAAAACGATCGTTGAATGAATCAGATGAACATCACAGCTAGTGAAAGCCGATCCTCTACAGTGGGAGCTGGGTTTTACAATATTCTTACCTGGTTGTGGGCTTGGACTCCGTTCATCTGTAACTTGGACAGAACCATAGTTCTTGCTGTCCTTGTTTCGAAAACCTCCTCGTCTGCTAAATGACCTTGAAACAGAAATATAACCAATTCACCAGTTTAATACACGATTTCTTTTTTAAAAAAGAGCTCGACTCTTGCAGTGCAACAGCACCCTTCCATATTCAGGCCAGAAACTTGGATTTTCCATCCAATAAAAACAACATTAGCAAGTTTTTAATAACAAAAATAAAAACTTAAGTTTAATAAAACTAATCTAAGAGTTGGCAATCTTTTTTTCTTTTTCATTTTTTTTTCGGTGCTTTGTACATTCAAGCTAGGACTGTGACCAATTGTTTACTGTATTTTTTATTATCATTTATTTATCACTTTTTGTTGTTGATATACATGTATAAATATTAGTAATGCTATCTAAAGACGTAGCTGGGGTGTTATTACTATTTATTACTATACTAGAGATCATATAAGCATTTGCAAGTGATCATCTATAATTAAAATGTAAGAATCCTAGAGGATCTGTCAAACCATTCATTATATACATGTAAATGATATTTTATCTAATAGGATGCAAATGCCCGAACAATGTTTTTGACGTCACATGATTGTTGTACGATCAATTAGAGTCTACAATAATAATTAATTATTCAAAACTAAATCAACAGTATTAAATCATAAACATAAATAAGAAAAATAAACTTTCAGTTACATTTTTGCTCTAATCCATTATAATATCCAACAATACAAAAAAGTTCGTAGTTCAACGACTTATATTACACAGAATTTAATTTTAAACGTTCGATATCCGCCTGATCTACTTTCACTTCCGTAGAGGGTCAAAGGTCATCTCAGTGTACTCACATGTATAATATCATAAAGTAATCTTGCATGTTGTAAAAGGGAACTATTACGCATCTCTTGACACATAAAATGATTTTAACTGTTATGAGTTCTTTCAGTTAGAGAGAGGTTCTATAGAGTTTTCATTTAATTGATCTGAAAATTTAAGTAATTGGATATTGTACAATAATACTACATACCACGGAGTAAAAATAACGATTCGCAACTTCTCGGCCATTCGAATGAATACGGTATTCTATATCAAAATATTTTGACGTGCCAAAACTAGATTCTGAGATATTTTCTGTTCTGTGTCAGAATGTCGCTTATATAGGGGAGATATTGCTTATACACTAAATAGCTCAATATCTCAACGTATAGTACAATTGCTTGCGCTAGGTCTTATCTTTGAAACATGTTTATATTACATGTAGATATATAGAATCTAGTTAGAAAATGCAGGGATTTGGTGGACTTAAATTAAGTAAATATATAGGTATAAAAGTATACACTGAAATTCACCTCGCTCACCCGTAACTTTGTTTGTTTGTTGTTGTTTTTTTGTGTTTGTTTTGGGGTTTTTTTTCCCCTTTTTTTCAAACACGTTTGACGAATAGGAAAATATTGTCAACTGGCAATTTACTTATATAAATTAACATATCTAAACACAAGGTACTAACTTTGTGTATAATATTAATTTGTGAAGGTATGCATTCTTAAATAATGTCAAAATGGAGTAAATGCACGAATTGTCAAATCTGCACATTTATGAGCCGGTATACTTTCACAAATTAATTATACAAAAAGACGAAACTGCGGTTCAGAGTCTGGGGAATTGTATGACTTATTAGTTGAAGGATCCAGTTCCTCACAAGCGATGCACAAATAACATCTTTAAAAAAAACTACTTGTAGTATATGGACCTGGGACGGAAGACGGTGTATCTTTCTGTCCCAGGACTGACAAAAAATTCACCTACATGTACATAAATCTGTCTTGCACATGCAAATTATTTTCTACATGTATTTTAAGAATTATGTACTGTAACCAAAAAGCGCGATAATAAAACACGTTCTCTACGGTATTAGATCTATACCCTTCAATTAGAAAATAAATATTGTAATTTTTATCTTTTAATTCTTTAAATAATATAAATCGAACTGAAGACGCAGACCATTACTTTTTTCAAGTGCCCATATTATATATAAACCAAAGGCTAACATTATTTATCATTACTCGTGATTATCACCCTCTTAATTAGTGCCCATAAATTGCTTTTCGGTATCACTAACCTTAGTGATGAAGACAATAGTAAGTTATTCCTTCAAGTTCATAATTTCATCAAGTATTCAAGGAGATTTGAAAATGACTAATTTTCTTAAAACGCTTTTAAATTGTTGTTCATAACTTATACATAATTGCTAAGGACAGGAACTGGGTAGGAATCTCCTACATGGTGCGTAATTATTCTTCCATTCATTCAGTCAATCTTTCTTTCTTTTTTCCTTTTCTTTTCTTTCTTACTTTTTCTTAATTCAAGTTTTGTCAGTCTTTGAACTATTTTTATTATCAAATTCTATTTTCTCAAATGATATCACAGTGGTTGTTTTTGTTTTTTTAGTTGATTTTGCCCCCGATCGCGAAATAAGGCATCTTCACAATGCCAAAAAAACATAATATATTCACAAAAATGTGTAAAAAATCAATTTTGATACCGCACCTCACTCCCGATGGATGATCGGCCTATTTACGGTCCAGCGAAATCAATATATTTATCTTACACCCATGTGTATTTTATTTCAATATATTTTTTTTCTCGAATACTCTCTCTAAACATGAAATCGAAATTCATCCGTGTTATAGTTATCCGTGGTCTTTTTATCTCACCGATATTTTACGACATCCGCAAAACGGTCTTCCTTTCTTGGCGCGGACCGGGTTGTAGAACACGCAGATTTTCACGTAAAATTAATTAAAATATACCGGGTTACAAATACAATTTTCGGTCAGGATGGATGTAAACAAGCTTGTGGAGGTTCTAAGGGCGACGTTAGATCCCAATCAAAGAGAGGAGGCTGAAAAACAATTGGAAATAGTAAGATAAAATCACCACGTTACTGAAGAATTCCAAAAATTTCATGGCTGCCTGCAATACTAACACGTGCAGCACATTCCTTTGATCATTTTTAGAATGTATGAATATAAGTTGTTACCGTCCAATCATTGTAATGTTACTATATGTATAGTCTATCTTTTTATGGTCTTCTGTAGCTGATATGTATTTTGCTGCAGGAGATAATCGAAGTTTATATGCCATATTGCCTAGGGCTTATATTTTGTTGATGTTTAAATCAAAAATCCGTTTAAGATAAACCGTTTCTGCTGAAAAGTATGTACAGTAAAAAAAAAACTATAAATGATTTCTTTTAAAATGATAAACAGTTTGCACAGACACTTTGGTTGTGAAGATCCAAACACCTAAAAGTTACAATACTGATAAAATGTATTTTTGTCAATCCCAGCACATGTACTGATCATATATATCAAAGTAAATATAAGCCTTTTTGGAAAAAAAATCACATTTCAACATCTTATCATAATAAGATAAAAACTTCGCCGGGAAGAATCTGCACACCTACCTTTAAAATCGCAATGAATTTAATTTCTTTTCCTATATTTTCACATCAATAAACCTTTTGTCCATCAACACAGAAGATATTATTCCCAACGATGATGGTCAGTTTTAAACTTCAACACCAATATAAACAATGCAGCTGTCGAAGTTAACATTAAGATTATCGCCGTTACTCCATTTACAAAATCTTTTGACAAATTCAGACTTGGCTCCCCAGCTTTGCCGTATGTAAATGCGCCATGCTTTAAAGATGAGAACCAGTCTGGCTATTGTCAGAGCCTTTTGGTAATATGTTGGTACCCATATTCATAAAACTGACTAGATAATGTATCTATCATAACCAAATTTAAAAGACAAAGAAATAAAAAAAAAAAACTTTTATTGTTCACTCGTAGCACATATTACTATTTGCCGTATTTGGATTTGCAAGATTACAATTTTCTATGACACAATGCAGTTAAATGTAACAAAATGACAATTAATTTACTTTTTTTATTTTTTGTTCCTTAAACTTCAAATTGGGGAAAAAACTATCTAATGATGCTCAGATTTGTTAGAAAATCACATTGTAATTTTGCATGCACCTCAATTGATGCATATATTGTGGTGAAGTCTGGATATTAGACAAGGCATCAGTTTTGCCATGTATTTTGGACGGTCCTTAATAATTCCTTAAATTTAAAATGAAGAGAAGTCTCTGTAGAAACTTTAAATAAAATTATGTCGTGAACTTGCAAAGACAAAAAACAGGGCCTTTTTTTCACAGGTTCTGGTTGGGGAAGCAGCCCTGCCCTTAATTTTGGGGGAAAAAGTCACAGTCTATTTGCAAAGGGGGGAGAAAAACTTTATGTAAATTCAATTTTGGGGAATATGTCATGATTTTAAAGAACTTTACTAAAACGGCCCCTGCTATCGAAGGGAAAAAAGCCCTGTAAAATGATATTGTGTTCAATCTATGATGCTGAAAGCTAATGTTGATTTAAAAAGACAAACTGTTGAATTATTAATCCATTTTGAATTTCAAGTAGTAAAACTGAATCAATCTGCCTATCTGCAGTCTATGCGAAAGACTTCTGAGTTTTACTGGACAGTAGGTCCTGTAAACTGAAAATTTTTACTGGACCAAACATGATTTTACTGGACCGAAAAAAACCCGATTGGTATAGCATTTTGAGTCACTTGATAAGTGTCAGCAGTCAAAAAATTTGTGTACATTAAGAAAATTATATTATCAACGAAGTGAAGTTATCTTTTTTTCACTACAATCAAAATGTAAACATAAATATTGTTATACATGTATTCAATGGATTTTGCTATTTAAACTTTAATTCCATACAGACTATATACTAGCAAAATGAGAGGGTAAATTTCAGCAAAAGTCTGGCATTATATGTAAACAGAATTATATATATCGGTAATTTAGTGAAGTTGACAGATTAATTGTTCAATGATTTTGGTACCTTCACAGAACAGTTTAATTTTTGTCAACATCTTGGACGATCTTTCATATCCCTAATTCGCTGCTTAACACCAGTTGAGCACACGTGTAATTTAGCATTAATCTAAGTCAGTGGATTAAAAACGTAAAATACACTTTCATCTGTGTAAACAAACTAATAGCGGGTGACCTTTCACATCTGGGCCGCTTATGTAATTTACGCGGCCGCTTATTGACTTTTAATTGTACTAGTAGTCGGATATTTTTATCTTGCGTTGTTACATAAAAGTTTGCATTATGAGAATGCATAACAATTGACAAGCATTGCACGAGCTTATATTGTGTAATGACAACATTTTGATATGTTTTGAATTTAGGTAAATGATCGGCCTTTGCAAAATGTTGAATGTAAGGTTTTTATAAAACCTTAATTTTTTACCGGACCGTCGGGCCGTCAATACATATATTTTTATCGGACCTTCTGATTTTTTACCGGTCAGGGCCGACGGTCTTTCGGAAAGACTGTATCTGTATTTTATATTGACTTTCTAATCTCTGAAGTTATTTTGTAAGTATTGCTAAAAATGCTTAAGTGTATGTATTCTGTTACTGCATCTATATATACTTCTCATTTGATATTTTTAGGTGCACAAAATAATTGGATTTGCACCCATTCTTCTGCAAGTTGTGATGGAAGAATCAATTGATATGCCAGTCCGACAAGCAGGTTAGTTATACACTTGAAACCTTAACACTTGCAGCTGCTTTGGCATTAACTTTTTAAACCACTGGACCATTGGGCCCAGTAGCCCAAAGAGTTTACTAGACCTTACCTGACAAATTTTGGATTTTAAAATTTGGAAATCACGTTATTGGCTTATTTTAGAAGTAATATAGGATTTTTCAAGAAAAAAAAAGTCCAGAATTGTGAGATTTCTTTGTTATTAGGTATAAATACTTGTATTTGGAATAAGAACAGAGATATTTTCCTTCTTTTGGTCCAGAAAACAGATCCTTCCCAATTGTAAAAAACTGATTTTTTTCCCAATTTTGACCTTTATAAAATGCTTATCAAATTCCACAATGAATCCACGAAAAATACATGATATATTAACTTTTTGGGGAAACAACCCCAATTTTATCACATCGTCCATATTTTTCCCAATTAGATTGCACTTTGACACTTCCCCAAAATAAAGAAAAATAAAAAAGCTGTAAAAGTGTGATTTCCTATTCGATAATGCTCTTATTTCCCATGTGTTTATTCTAGGTGTAATTTACCTCAAGAACATGTGCACACAATTCTGGAATGAGAGGGAAGCCGAGAATCCTGGAGATCCTGTGCCATTTAGTATACACGAGCAAGACAGATTGACAATTAGAAACAACATTATAGAAGCTGTGATACATGCTCCAGATCCTATCAGGTATGTATAAATAGTTACAAATTTATTTACAAACCCTATAACAAGGAGAGAAACTGATACAAATTTGCTTACAAACCCTATAACAAGTAGAGAAACTGATAGCGAACAGCATGGATTCTGATCAGATTGTGCGGATGCGCAGGCTGATCTGATTCCATACTGGTTGCAAACACACTATGTTGGTTTGGTCATGACGCGGCTAAAATGTGTTTTGCTTGAATACAGGGCCCTTTTTACCTTACAAGGAATAGGGGCAAGGTGCCCTCCGGTAGCATAATAATGCATGTTTTCATAGAAAATTGGTGTTTGTTTTTTTTTTTATTAACACAGTAAAACTTCATTTTAATTGTGATGTGAAGTAGTACATATTTTTGTTTTCAAAAAACAAATTCAAATAAGATATTGTTAATGGCTTCCTGCTTTAGGCAGGCAAAATGTTTAAAGAAGAAGTGTGTGAAGGTTTTTTTTTTGAAAAGGGGAAATATTCATTGGGAAGGGAAATGAGACAAAAATCGTGAAATAAGGGCTTTGGAATTAATAACAGTCCATCTTTGTTCGCTCGAATTCAAAGGGCCTCTGCAAATTAATGCAAGAAATTGGTAGTTTGAGCCAACCAAGATTGAACTATTTTCATGTAGGATACATCATTCGACTGATAAATATGTCAACATAATTTGTTTGTTAGTACATCAGTTCGTTGAATATGTCATTTCTTGTAAATATTAAGAATTATTATCCGCAGTGTTTTCAAACGGGTATTAAAGGTACACTGAAAGTCTTTATTCATGCATATTAAATTGTAAATATTACTTTAACACCTATGTTTTTGTTATTGTAGAGTACAGCTATGTGTTTGTCTAAGCACAATAATCAAATACGATTATCCTGGTCGGTGGCCAAATTTCCCGGAGAAGGTCGCCTTCTATATACAGTCAGAAAATCATGCTACGTGGATGGGAGCCTTCATGTGTTTGTACCAAATGGTGAAAGTCTATGAGTAAGTTCATCAGTTAAACCATTTTGTTGAAATCAATATTTATGTTACTGAGCCAATTTTGAGTCAGAAGTGTTTAAATGCAATTTATAAACTGTTATTTTAATAACCGGAAAACATAGAAATGATTAAAAAAATTTATGTAAATTCAATTTTTTTGGGAAAACTGCATGATTTTAAAGAATTTTTCTTTGGGGAAGGAAAAAAAAGGCCATTAACTCATTTAGAAAGTACTTTACAGCTTGTTATTTTCGAAGTTTCACTGGCTTATATGAAAAATAAGAGAGACCACTGTGAATGTAAGACATTACAGCCTGTGATATGATCACAATTGTAGTTGTAGGGACCTTTATAAATAAGTTTTAAGGTCATTCCTTATGTTTGATGGATGTCCAAATGTGCTAGATGTTTCCAATTCTTTCCATAGGTACAAGAGAAGTGAAGAAAGGAAGATTTTAGACACAGCAATGGCCCACATGTTACCCCTGTGTTATCAAAGATGTGCCCAGCTCTTGCCAGATCCCTCCGAGGCCTCAAATCTGCTACAAAAACAAGTTCTTAAAATATACTACGCTTTTATACAGGTAACACTTCACTTGATTTTACACTATGTTTATCAGAATCCCCTTAAAATGACAAGTGGTACTCCTACATAGCTTAAAAGGTATCTTCGTTTAGGAAAGGAATCTTAAGTTCTGTAATAAAGTCTAAAAAGAGATATTCTAGTTAATTCATAAAATACAGGAATTTTGAAATTTTAGCCCTAACTCTGCCCCAAGCCAATGCCTGAAGAGAAATAACAAGTTTTTGAAATTAATTTGTAGCTTGGTGTATTTATTTTCAGAACTATTTACCATTGGAAACTTTAACAAAAGAAGTATTTACACAATGGATGGAGTTGATACGACAAATTGTGGACAGACCTGTGCCAGAGGTGAGTGAAAGTGATGTTGATAAACTTGTAAGTAAATCTGTAGTCGAACCAAGAGCTTAGTATATGTGTAGATATTTGCATGGGTGCAAGTTTTCCGGCATGTGCCGGAAGTTCCGGTTTTTCACGTGCCGGAGGGATCATTTTTGCAAATCACGTAAATCCGTTGAGATATTTGGAGGGGTATGGTGCGGGTCTACTCTTTCAAACTGAGAAGTACCACCGATTAGAAGTTCATAATCGAGAACGCTATATAACATACGGATGCTCACGGTTGTTCTCGAAGCGTCAATAGTAAACTTTCGCGGAAACTGCCGATAGTTTCCGAAGATATACGAGATGATACGGCATGCAATTTTATCCGTGAATTTATTACAACGATTTAGATTGGCGCGCTAATTATAATCATCCAATGAAAAAGCGGCTTCGTTACCGATTCGGCTACAGAGTAATATGTAAACAGAAAGTAATTATTCATTTTGTTAGTCAAAATGAAGTTTCTACACGAAGGATTTAATACAAAAGATATCGAGAAGACCTCAAAATATAAATGGAGATTGGAATGGTTGTTTGTATGTGATCGAAACGGGGATAACTACGGAAACTGGCTGGAAAAGCCAGACGTTCCCGGCAGCTTTCTGCACTGTATGTAGAAAATCCATCAAGTATGGATCCAGCGGGAAAAAAAGAATTAAATGCACGCAGACGATCCAAACCATATGAAAAACAAACTTACTGTGAAACATAACCAGGGTTGTTTTAATTATCTTTTTTGAAAACAATTTATTGTTTGTATGAATCAGGGTCAGCTCAGCCCTAATTAAAAACGTAAACTCGGTACAAAATCAACTCAATTTTCAATTTATTTATATATTGGTTTGTTTTATCACTCTTTACTGTTGGAACCACAATATTAAATAGTGGAACCAATATATGAATGCACATTTCTTTTTGTGTTGAAATGTTTTTGTTATATATATATAAATTAAGAAAAGAGAGAGAAAAGAAGAAAAAATTATGTGAGCAATTTTTTAGTGAAAATACTATACTATAGTATGTATGTTATCTGGCATGTAATCATTCAAGGGAATTTCATTTTAGGCCTTCAAATGTGCTATAATGCAGGAGCTTCCGGGGGCCTCCGGCCCCCAGGACCCCTGGCCAGGCGTTGCCCTGGACCCACCGGGGGGGGGGGGGGCCCTTGCGGCCCCCTGGCCCCCAAACAAAAAGTTCAGGTTTTTCAAAATTTTTAACTTGCACCCATGTATTTGCATTGCCAAAGCAAATTATACACCTGGCCTTGAAAATTATTTCATAGTGTGAATTAAAACTGTTAAATCTTTGGTTCAGTTATAATCAGTTATCTCAGTTCAATAGTGCAGAAGAAATGGAAATGATGCATTGAGTTGTCTTGTTTTTAGGAAATAGATTGCAATTTTCAGTGCATTGTAGAGTAATGCACAATTTGAGTTTAAAGAAAAAAGCTAGCAATTTTTGTGTGCAATGTTGTACAATAATGCAGAGCTCCAGATAATTTTTTGGGCAGAGGGGTTTTTACTCCTCAAAATCAAGAGTGAGGAGTAAAAATGCATATCTCAAAATCACCATGAGTAAAAATAATGATTATAAGTCTTGAGCCTTATACAGATGGTTATTTATTCAAAATTGTTGTTTTCATACACATGTAACAGTTTTCAGTTGTATTTCAGTTGTATATCAGGATTAATTTATTGATTTAAAAGTCAACACTCCTTAAGCTTCATTCTTTTTGGTTCTCTCGGTTTGTACTCTGCAGTAAGTCTCTTTTTCCGCCTTCTCTTGGTCAACCACTGCCTAGCACATTGTTCACTATCAAAATTCTCAACACTTGGTCCAAACAGGCTGACCCTCATGAGAGCCTCAAGGGAAACATCACCAAGGGAGGCCCTGGAAATATTATATACATAAAATAATATTTCATATTTGTTTAAGAATGAAATTATAAATGTTTGGAACGAAACTTTTAAGTACGAATCAATAACAAGGAAACTAAATCGGCAGTGTTACGACACTGAGCTCAAGCAAAATAGATTAGTTATATATAAGTTTTATCAAATATTCAAAATAAACAAAACTTACCCCGCAAGTGGTATTTATGACTTGTATAAATTTATTCTTTTAACAAAATCGAAATGTTGAAAACGTTCGGAGATTAGGTCATACACAACTAAAAAGTTGAACAGATTAAAACTTTTTATGGGCATCGGTTTTTCTTTTTTGCATCGTTGTATCATTAGTTATGGAATCTTTTAAGATAGTACCTTCGAAAAAAAAAACTTCAAGTATTTTTTTTCTATAAGAAAAGAATGTCTGTCCACGCATTGGATTTAAAAATATTTTGTTAGCATGACCCTTCTTTACTACCGATGAAAGTGAACTTGTCTGACCTGGATCCCGGTTGTTAATTAACATTGTATAACCACTCTTACATCACGTGAAAGCATCCGCGCTTTATGTCAACTTCCTCTTTACCTGGGTTAGTGATTACTCTTTACGCATTATTTTGAATATGCATGCGTATTTTGATTTTATTATGCGTAACTGTGACGCATGGATTCTAAGACTGATGCGTATTTTTTATTTTTGATGCGTATTTTACGCTTATACGCATGCTATCTGGAGCTCTGATAATGCATGGCTTTAGTTAAAAAAAATCCCAATTTTAGTCAAAATAACGCATTTTTTCCCAATCAGTCTGGTACTGGCACCATTCCCAAAGTAGAGAAAAAAGACGCGGAATTATCTAAAAAGTACAATGATCAAAACATACTATTATGGTGTTGTATCACAATGATGATGCGTAAATTTTCCATGTACAGGATACAAATCAAGTGGATGAGGATGATAGGCCAGAACTTGCTTGGTGGAAGGTGAAAAAGTGGGCAGTACATATCCTCTCCAGAACTTTCGAAAGGTGAGGGAGAATTCCCGGGGTCAATAAAAACATAGAAAAAATTTTGCAATATTAACATATTTCATATCTGATGAATAAATGTTTTTGTCTTTTGTTGAATTTTGCAAGGAATTTGTTTGTGGACAAATAGAAGAAATGTATTACTCAGGAGGGGAGCACTGCCCTGTGGTTATCTGCCTCTCAGTCCAGGGAATATAGTTTGAATCTCGCACTGGTCACAACCATGTTTTCTTGTATTATATCAGTACTGGTTAGTTGCAGAAGGTGAAATCAAAAGTTGATTTATATATCCAGGAATTAAAATCTAAAGTAGATTCATAAAATAGTTTTTAAATTTTTTTAAATAAATATGTAACTAGTAAGTTTCTAATATTTTTCAATTTTAAGAGGTACTGTGTGTGTTGAAATTTTAAACTGTGAAACTGAATGTAAGCATTTTATATTTTCTAACAGGTATGGAAGTCCAGGAAACGTAACAAAAGAATACAACCAGTTTGCCGAGTGGTATTTGAAAGCATTTTCAGGTACTTCGTGTTTCTTTCCCCACTTTACCAGTACTGAGTAGCTGAAGACCATACTCCTATGATTTTTGAGTAAAGTGTGTATATTCCACACAGCATCTTTGCTACATGTATTATAATACTTGATGGATAGTTGCGCGTATATGAAGACTTTTCATGAAAGAATCAAAGATAGCTATAGTGTTTTATTCACCTAAACATGTCTTAAATTTTACTGCACTTAAGTAGGCAGAGGTATATGTTGATTGTAAATATTTCAGGTGGTATCATACAAGTGTTGTTTAAGATACTGGAACAGTACAGACAGAAAGCATATGTAGCTCCACGTGTCCTTCAACAAGCTCTAAACTTCCTCAATCAAGGGTAAGTCCAGTGCTTAACAAAAAAATATTTACATGCTAATATGCTTGGAGTGTGTCCCGGTCCCAAGCAAAGCTGAAAAGTCAATAAATGACTATAATTACAAAAGTTGTCCAGTTACCTCATTAGGTAGAGTGTTGAACTGTATATAAGGTGGCCCTGGTTTGATAC